ATCGGTTACATCCATATACGTATTAAATGGTATTGATAATCAATACGGATAATCTCTATCTGTTTCCATAGCGAAACATGAAGCCGATTTTTGAAGACAAATGTCTATCCATAAGGAAAAGTTTTGAAACGATCAGACACATACTGCTTTGATTGAAAGGCTAGTAAACGTCATTGTCCACCGAAACGCATGTCTTTGATGACTACTATAATAGCGCATGGCGCATGCGTATCATGCCACCAAATCCTTATGGATATTCATTTGTTTCATATTTTTGGCTTCATCCTGGCACCCGTAATGATCCGTATTATTTATTAATACGTATATGGTTACATCACGGCCTCAATCAACAACTTGCAGGACGTATGAGAAGGAGGGATAGAGACACCCTGCGGCGACAAAGCCACAACCCTAATTTCCCAATCAGTGGCAGATTTTCCGGGGCTGCAGACTATCCTGATTGAGGGTTTGTCAGGTAACACATGCACGAGATTAGGAAGGAGATGAATTTCCTGAATAAAATTAGTGCTCACGATGGCTCTGTTGTATTGCACAAGAAATATAAAAGATAACATTGTTCAAACGCAGTGACAAAAAATTGTATTTGGATAATTAATAAGAAGAAGTTAGCGACTTGTATCGAATATTTGAGATCGTGCGATGTCTTGAAAGTTCATGAACAATGCAGGTCACCTCTGTTGTTTTTGATGTGATGTTACTCGTGCGTCTCAGAAGCGGTCTATTACTCCTACTACTCTACTATCTTTATAACGTTTGAAAAATAAGGGTTCAAGTTGAACACTAAACGCTGTGCCCTTCGAGCACAAGGACCTGGATAAATCTATTCGGTTTGTTGTTCCAGTTATCTGGAGAGAGCCTATGAATAATGTCAATGATTGCTTTCTGCTGCATGATACTACGTGTTGGACATCAAGGCACAAGTATAATATCAGAGTAGTAGAAGACAGTCATCAACTTTCCAAAAGTATCATTTGTCGTGTGAATTTTATAGTGTACTTCTGAGTTGATTGTATATCGTTGTTCTGAAACACATTCATCAAGTCCTTTTATAATCACCATTATGAAGACTGAGATGGCATGATCTACTTGCGATTTGAGATGATTAGGATTAGTAAACCAGACTTGAACTAAAAAAAGTGCTTCATGAAAACGAATCTTATTTCCAAAGCTATTATTAGGAGAGCCGGCTGCAGATTTCTACCAACGTCTGATAAGGAAATAATATATGTCCCAAAGGGAGGTAAAAACATTGTAGTTCATCGAAAGGCAATATTTAATGGAACAGTGTGAATATCATGCGATGCTCACACAACAAGTATTCTAATCCACATGTTGAGTTTTACACTGGTTCATCGGATATCATCTTTTGGGTGGATCTAAATACTCTGGGGAGTATTGACGCTCTGCCAATAACTTAGATCAGTTTGAATCGCGGCAGGTTTCGATATTCGTGAAGGCGACAAAATCCCCTTCTATTTGCTTCTTGTTTCAACTCTTTATCACATGAAGGAAGTATGTTCTGAATGATAGCAGCAAATAAATCGCTGTGCTGAGGATTTGGCTCAGACTGAGGTTTTTGGAATCTACAATTCAATTGATTTAGGATCGCATAATTCTCATCTCATTATCGAATCGTAGAATCGAGTGTGATTTTCCACGCAGGAGAGTGCAATTGTTCAATCATTTTGCTCAGGATAGTGATTGGCACAGGTGCTGGTCCATGAAATACAATGGTTCTACCTACATGCCTTTGGGGCTTGCGGCTCCGACGGAATCCCACCGATTGTTCTCAAGAAATGTGCTTCCGAACTAACACCTGTTTTCTGCAAGTTGTTCAATTACTCTTACGGATTGGGGATATTTTCGTCCAACTGAGAATTTGCAAGAGTACAACCAGTTCCTAAAATAGGCAAGAAGACCTTACCTAGCAACTACAGACCGATCACACTGCTATCTATTATTTCGAAGATCATGGAAAAAGCTATCAACATCGAGCTCATGAAATACCTGGAACATTCGGGTATTTTTAACGATAGGCAATATGGCTTCCGTCTTCCGTCCTCAGAGATGATTTGGTGATCTGCTCGCTTATGTCTCACATTCATGGCAGCAGTTTATTGAAAAATATGGTGAAACCTTAGCCATGGCACTTGATATCTCTAAGGCATTCGATCGAGTCTGGCACCACGAACTCCTCGCCAAGCTTCGATCTTATGGCTTGCCTCCCCAGCTATGTTCTCTGCTAGCTAGTTTTCTCTCAAACAGGTCTCTCCATGTAGTGGTCGAAGGAGTTTTCTCTGACTCTCTTATCATAAATGCTGGTGTTCCGCAAGGTTGAAATGTAGTACCAACACTATTTCATGTTCAGTATACAGCTTCGCGGATGATAGTACCCTCCATACCGTTTACTCTTCCAGGGCTCCAATACCAGCCAGGCCAATCAGAAACGAATGAGAGAGAAATATTGACAACATAATTATGGCAACAACTCTCGAATGAGGATCCAATAACTTGGTAGATTTCAATTCCAACAAAACACAAGCATGCCTCTTCTCTAGAGAAGCCGATATCACTGTGCCCAACATAAGCTTGTCAGGAGTAACCTCACCTTTGAAGACATCCATTTCGATGCTTGGTATTACTATCAGCAATAACCTTCCTTGGGAAAATCACGTGCGATCAATTGCTAAAAGTGCATCTCAAAAACTTGGTTTTCTGTTTCAGGCCAAGAGCTATTCCACTTCCAGTCAGCTGCTCATGATCTATAAGGCACAGATCCGACCTGTCCTGGATCACTGTCACCATATTTGGTGTGCAGCACCCAAACGTACCCTGTAACTGTTGGCTAATGTTAAAAAAGGGCAATTCGTGTCGTGGGTGATGCCTCGCTCACAAACTCAAGCACTTTTCTGGAACACCGTAGGAAAGTTGGCAATCTGGCTCTTTTGTACAGATATTTCCATGGACGATGCTTCTGAAATATCAACAATTGTTCCTTCCTTGCACTGAGAAAACTCGGCCAAGTAAATTGTTTTCTTGAAAAAAAGTCGATTGTGACAAGAACATTTTCACCAACGGTAGGAAAATATGGTACTTGCAGTAGGCAAAACTATATTTCTGAAACGAAGTTTCTGCTGTAAGTGATCAGAACACTTGTTGGTATCAACCAAGTCGATATGTACTTATAGTTCGCTAATTCTAAGTGAACACTAAACTAGTGGTAGGTTAACGAATACTCACTATTATTAAATTATTTTCCTGACATAAGATCACTTGCTCTGAGCGAACTCATCAATAAAGACAATCTATCAAGTCGATTGTTGCAGGTGACAGCTCACCTGTAGTTATAGATCTCATTTCCGTTCGGACATCTCCGATATTATTCGAGTACCCACGCCCAACGCGATCACTGTCCAGTGTCCACGAGTCCACGGCGTCATTTCGATCTTAGCATTCGTGAAGTTAGTATACTTGCGTTCCCGCTAGTAACATTGAAATTCCAAGTCATGCAAGTGCCCTTTCGAACAACTACTATATATCATATTCGTATATGAGAATTCTCTGTTTGTGTGCCGTGCTCTGTGGCCGTGCTCTGAGCTGTGGGGTGTTGAGTTCTTGATCTGTTCTCTTGAAGGAGATAATGAAATACAAAACTCTTCTAGATTAGTGCATAATTGTTTCTACATATATACAGGATGTTTTTCCACATCCTATAATACTCGAAGTGGAAGAAAGTGACGTTCAAAAAGTATGAAAGTTGATTCATCTTCAATGCTGGAAGGAAAAAGATAGTGAACCAGAGTGTAGTGCAGTGAGTGAGAGTACCGTTTTTCTCGGTGCATGATGCTGATATACGCGGTATCTAGTATCTCAATATTTGTCGTCAGCCTTACCTTTTTGTATTTTCTGGATTCATCATACCTATATAATAAAATGTTTTGAATGCATGTGTTTTTGTCTTATTATCAAGGTTTTATCATTTTTCAGAGAACAATGGAGGTATTTTTTCATACTAGCTAATGACAAGTGAATAAGTCACTGATGACTAGTAGATAAGTCACTAATGACATGTAATTAGGTCACTAATGACTAGTGAACAAGTCACTAATGAAAAGTTAATGAGTCACTAATGATAATTGAATAGGTCACTGATGACAAGTGATGTGTTCACTTACCGTTATCACTCTGAAATTTAATGAAACAGGTCAATAGTGGTAGGTGTACATTTTTAGGAACACGAATATTCTTGTGGTCATTAACTTGTTTCCTTGTCACATATAGTATACAAGTTTTTACTTGCCACTATTAAATATTCACTTAGGGCTAGTGATTTTTTTCTCCGTGTGGCAGTCCCCGCGAGATTAAACCATCGAGTTGAAGCTCCGCAACCCTCATAGTCACTTTGGAGACCTGCAGAACATCTCTTTCAAAAGACTCGTTCATCCAACGAACAGCGAAGCTCTGGAACTCATTGCCAAGGGAGGTGTTCCCTGAGTCATGAAGCTTCCAGAAATTCAAGAAGTACACCAACCCCTACCTTATTTCCCTTGGTTCTCACGATTTTCTCTGAACTTTACAGGATATTCCTTCTCATGGGAACCAGAACATGAAAATATATATATATCATTTCGTTATCAGATGACAGTCGAAATTTGCAGCCGGCTCTTGGACTATATATACCAAATGGCGTTATCAGAAACACGATGGATTATTATGTCTCATAGATCCTAACATAGTAAACACCCGTCGGACTCGTCGGAGTTACAAAAAACCTCGTATTATCACAATCCCGTAATTTCTTAATTTGCGCATAACGTCAAATAATTGACGAAGTTTATGTTGGTATCAGTTTGAAGTTCGATAATGTGAAATATTTCCATAATTTGAATTGAAGACCTGTTAGGAAAATACTAACAACGCGTTCATGATATTTTTCCAGTCTCGTTTGTACACCCGACGTGAGTCGTGTATACGCAATAATGAATGGGGAAATCAAAATGAAACTCGTGAATCCGGTCAAAAACGCTAATTTTTTATCAAAACTATTATTTGGGTAAGTTCTGATAGTGATTTTGGCAATATGTAGGTGTCAAATTCTTCTATTTTTCACAATTGTCAAGAACAGTGCAATTTGTTTATCGCTCAGAAAGCACGAATTTGAACCCTCATGATATTCTAAGAACGTGAGTTTAAAGATTGTTTCATAATGGTGTTGTACACAGAAATATGTGTTATTATTATTATTATTATTATTTGATTTCAATCATTCCATGTTTGGAAAATATTTCATACAGTCATCAATTACCTATTTGAAATCATCACAAATATTCTTGTTCAATAAACAATATAATCATCTCTCGAAAACCCTCAATCACGTACCAATATGCAATATGATTGTTCTATTGGTCAGAATCAAATGACATTAGTTTTGCATTTAACATAAAAAATTTTTCTGTGACCGAAAAAAAGTTTGATATTTCATCCCCGTTGACAGGTTACGAAGTGTCACTCATTCTACCAGATATACAGGGTGTTTCATAATTAGATATCAATATTTGGGAATGCGATTCTTTGGTCCATTTTGAGAAGAAAGTTTTATATAAACGCATGACCTGAACGTCCTAACTTTTGAGATACAGGGTGGTGAAGTTCCCAAAAATTAATAGTTTTTAATCAGTATCTGTAATACCATTTCAGATATGTACATTTTTTTTTGGTTGCCACCAGTGGCCTTCGTATGGAATTTCACATACCTATTCTGGCAGACATTGATGGTACGCCACTGATTAATCTCCGAATTGAATTCATTCCTGTAATTCCCAATCATTTTTAAGCAAATTTGATAACCACAATTTTTTCAATCTGATGCACGGTTTTCGCTTAAAAAACCATAAGCTTTTCACCATACATGATTATAGCAATATTGTTAATATGACAATATCACAATACAGAGAAATATATTTTATTTCTTAGATGGAATATCAGAAATACAATTCATAGTTTATGAACTTCGTATCCATATTTGGTATTTTGGAATTATAACTTTTCATTGTAGTAGGCTATATTAATTCTTGAGAATTTAACCACCCTGTATCTCAAAAGTTAGGACGTTTAGGTCATACGTTCATATAAAACATTCTTTCTATAATGGGCCTAAGAATCGCCTATTCGAATATTGACATTCAATTATGTAACACTCTGTATAGGTGCACTGTTGACGGCTTTTGTTGTGCCAGTTTAGAAAGTTAAGACGATAACATCGTCTCCGAGAACATACTGAAAGTTTTTTTTATCAAAACAACCACTAATTTTGCAAATTTTCGAAATCAAAACACATAATAAAATTGACAACACATTGACATATTCGATTGATTCAAAAGGTTGCCATAGCAACAATGAATATGCCTACAAAAGGATGCTTGAAGCACACGTGTACTACCAGCTAGAAACTTTGAATTTCACAACAATAATGTTCTGATTATTATAATGTGATATCTGAACAATTTACAACCTTGAGCTGAAATCGAATACTTTTTCCCTTGCACAAGGAATACAGGGTTTCCCGAAATTACATAGAAATATTCCAACCACAGATTCTGGTACAAAAGTAGTGAAATCAGTTTATATGAACATGGTTTCAGAAATGGCATCCTGGGGAGTTATATCCATCTGAAAAAAAGGCCAAGATGATGTTCTTTTGTGGATATTTTCGAAACCCACTGTAAAACAAAGACCAAATGCCTCACGCATACACCTAACTTCTCATGACCAATTCGGAAAATTCAGAAATGCATCAACAACCAAAGTTTCTCTGTCTTAATGATCAAACTAATTTTGAACGCAATCATATTTTCCGCACATTACGGTTGTCTTAACATTTTTTTCTATATAAATATCCCTACAGAATTTTATTCGCCTGTATAATAGGGTTCGATTTCTTTCCTCTTCTCTTTCGATCCTATTGCTCCTTTTTACGCTTCCAACTTTCTTGGTTCTTCTTCTCTTTTTTCTTAGGGAATCTTCTTTCTCACTTTTTCTTCTCACAATATATAGGTTGGTAATATTGCGTCCTTCGTTGATACGCCAGTCTTGTTATATGATGTCAGTTACCCATTAAAAATCGAATATAGCTCATTCTTGATTAAGAAAAACGTTCTACAAAACAGACATCATCTAAAAGGCAAAAATATCAGTATCATTGAGGATCAACCGACCAAACAGAGAGAGGAACATAAATTGCTAAGAAAATATCTTTTCCAAGCCAAACAAGAAGAGGGAAATACGTGCTACATCAGGAATAACAAGCTGCATGTAAACCAGGATGTGTATACAATATCAGATTTGTTGAAGCTAGACGCCCAATCACAGGTAGAAGATACTGAGGTTAAAAGTGCACCACCTACTCCTACATTAACCACAACGAGAAGCATAATACAAGTAGACCGAGACCGAGAAACCAAACGCCAACCTTCTACTAGTAACGATCCAAGACCAGATAAAGCCGCAACAACAGCGAGTGGAGCCATAAAGAAACAAACGTCCAAACTAGTGGAAACAATACCTAGAACCCGCTCGTTTTCTCGCAAGGAACAGTGAACATCCCTTTGAAGAACCAACGTGTTTTTCTCCATATTTTTTCAAACATCCCCTGTTAATAATTGTAATCTCCTCTGCTGAATTGTATCTGAAAACTCATGTAATAAAATAAGATGGATCAATTCATAAGGGATTTCAAGATAGAACCAATAGACACTTTAGAAGTGGAAACGTACTCTGAAGTCCCGATATTTATGAATAGAGGTAACAAATTCTCAATATTTCATAACAATATCTGTAGTGTCGGTAAGAACATTGATGAATTTCAGGCATATATTTCACAGTTTGGAAATTCTTTCAACTGCATTATTCTATCAGAAACCTGGAAAATAAGTGACATTGATCTGCTAGGGCTATCAGGGTACAACGCTGTTTATAATGATACCCCAATAAACCAAAATGATGGTATATTGGTCTACATTGAGAACAGTGTTGATTACCATTACAAAAAAATTAAAATTGGTGAAATTTATGGAATTTTCACCGAAATGGTGATATATAAGCAAAAAATTGCAATCTTATCCATTTATAGATCTCCCGCAACTTGCATAAAAACTTTCAATGAGGGACTAGAGAACTTCCTCACCAACATTAGCATAGAACATTATGATCAATTTTTCATAGTAGGTGATATCAACATCAACATATTAGAAAATGGCGATGAACCAACCGAGGAATATAAAAACATACTCTCTGAAAAAGGTTTTGTATCGCTCATTAATAAGCCAACTAGAGTTACTTCTGCTACAGCTACCTGCATTGATCACATCTTTGCTAAAATTAAATCAGAAAAATATACTCCAGATAATATGCTCTCAACTATTATCAAGACTAATATGAGTGACCATTATTCAGTAACTGTATGTACTAATACAAGTGAAAATGATGAACCAAATGAAAAATTTCAACACAAGACATACGATCGTCTTAATGATAACAAATTTGTTGACTCTATTCGCCAGGAAAATTGGTACGATATTTACAATGCTGAAGATATTGAAATAGCAACGGAATTATTCACACAAAAAATCAAAACATATATGGTTAATGCTACAGAAAAAATTAAGATCTTAAGCAGGCATAAAAAAAAAGAATGGATCACGAATGGTATTATTACATCGATTAAACATAGAGATCGTCTTCGGCAGATTCACTTGAAAAGCCTCGAAACGAGAACCTCAAAATCAACTTCTCTAACTACCGAAATAAATTGAATCACTTGATTAAAAAAACCAAATACGATTTTTACAAGAAAAAAATAGAAAATAACGCAAATGATTCTAAAAAACTATGGAAAGTGGTTAAAGAGTTCAGTGGATCTAAAAGTAACAGTAGCAATGTAACGAAATTAGCTTTGGAAAACGGTTCGATCATCAGTAACCCCACTGACATAGCAGATCACTTCAACGAATATTTTGCAAATGTTGGCAAAACTTTAGCAAACCAGATCACGTCTCAGGGAGACAAAAAATTCAGAAATTATAGACAGCCACAATCCATGTTCCTCAGGGGAACAACACCATGTGAAGTCAATAAAATTATAACTGAACTAAAAAATAAGGAAGCACCTGGTCCTGATAGAATCACAAATGAAGTACTGAAAATGTCAGCCAAATACATAAGCCGCCCATTGTCTTTTATTATAAATAGAATCTTCTCAACAGGCAATGTTCCAACACACTTCAAAACTGCGATAGTACGACCGATTTTTAAATCCGGTGATAGACTGAAACTGTGCAATTATCGACCAATATCGCTGACATGTTCATTCTCCAAAGTGTTCGAAAAAATATTGAAAATACGCTTAGTCAATTACCTGGATAAGCATAATATGATATCACCAATGCAATTTGGATTTCGCGATAAATTATCTACCCAAGATGCCATTGCTGCCTTGACATCTCAAATTTACCAAGCAATAGACCGGAAGAAACCATGCATAGGTGTTTTTGTTGATCTGGCAAAAGCCTTTGATACAGTAGATCATGGGAATTTGCTGGATAAACTCGAACATCTGGGTATACGTGGTACAGTACTCAAAGTACTGAACAATTTTCTGACAGAAAGAAAACAATGCGTACACATGAATGGAAAAATCAGTACCGAAAAAAGTATTACCCATGGTGTTCCACAAGGTACTGTTTTAGGGCCTGTTCTATTCATTATATACCTAAATCAATTACTTACTCTGCAATCGACCGGGTCAATCATATCATTTGCTGATGATACCGTCATACTATACACGGGAGACTCCTGGAACGAAGTTCGGGAAACAGCGGAAACTGACCTCGAACTAATCTGTGACTGGTTCAATGAAAATATACTCACTATGAATGTAAGCAAAACAAAAATAGTGCCATTTACTTCATACGAATGTTATTTACCAGATTACGAAACCGTCATCATAAACCATAAAAACGTGAAAATGGCATCAACAGTAAAATACTTAGGAATACA